ATGGGAACTGGGGACATGAGGCCCCTTAGGAGACTAAGTAAAGGCATGGGGCTGAGACGGGAGGATCAGATGGAAATCACACTAGGACCCCTGGGACCATCAGCAGCCTCCCCCAGCCCTCAGCCAGATTGCTAAATTCCAGACAAGTCAGGAAAAACGTTACTTAGTTGAGAGTGTTTTATTCCTCTAAGCACCTCCAGGCACAGACCATGCAGACCATGTACATCAGGTTGTGCTGAGTGAATTAGGGAAAGATATTCAGGGGAGAGCGTGGGTCATGGAGTTTACAGTGTGGTGTCGTGGCTCCTTGCCAGGCACAGGGACAAACAGGGAACAAAACAGCCCAAGGCAGATGCCCACTGGACCCTAGCTGAATTCAAATGAGGAAGTAAGGCTTTTGGCTGGTTGCCTTTGTGCTTTTTCCTCTTTTCCCAAAATGGGTGCCAAGCAAGTTCCCTTATTGTCTCTAGAAAAACAACTTAGTGGCCTGTCATCTTGAAATTTATCCAGCCTGCCTTGCAGGGTTGCCTAATTCTGGTAAGCATTGCCTCATTTACACAGTTTCTTAAAGGGTCTGACATTTTACAAGCTTATTTACTTGCTGTTTCCTTTCTGGATTTGGCAATTTGCATGTTACATGCATATTATGCATAGGAAACGTTCCAAAGTGGTAGATGCTTGCAATCCTGTCCAAAGCAGTAACACAGCTAGAGACTCCATTTGAAATCTGTGGCTCCCTGAAACGATTTTAGAAACAATTCTCATGCTTTTTGTGAACTATTGGTTGGAGGAAAGTCATAATTCATCAATACCCCTACAGTGTAACATTTCCTGCTCCACCTCCACCAAGCATCATAAGCTTGGACCTAAAAAATCTAGTTCATGGATTTTTTGGTAGAGGATTAATCAAAATGTAAATTAGGATTTATGTATAAAAATGTTCACTGAAGCATTCTTTCTAATAGTACAACATGGGAAACATTTAATAGCATGGAAATGCTCACAAATAATGCCACCTGAGTGAAATAGTAAGAAATACATCATTCTAATAGCAAAAGGGAGAAACGTGTCAAAAAATTTAACTGTGAGTATTTCTGAATGGCAGAATTACAGCCATTTTTGTTTTGTTCTTTATCCTTTGTCATGCTTTGTCTGTAACAGATACACCCCTCTACCTGAAAATGTATTTTTGCCTCCAGTTTAGAATTCCTAGGGTTGATTAATCTAGAGAAAGATCTTTCCTTGTGTGAGTAAAATAAATATGTTCCCTTATTCAGATCTTGAGCTTTGAATTATTGCTACTATCCATTGGTATCCTCAGCCTCCCTAACCTGAGCCCAACCCCTGTCCAATTCTGAAGCCCCTGCATCTGAATGAAGTTGGCCCATTTTTTATTCAACGAACATTTTGAGCAGTTGCAGTGTACCGGGCCCAGGGCATAAAGCAATGAACATAAATGCCCAGATGGTACCCATCATGGGGCTATTACTCCCTTTAAGCCACAGCACCCAAGAGGTCCCCAGTGTGACTCTGCCAGGAAAATGGGTTCCAGGCACCCCTGTCTGAAGCTCATTGCTTTTCTCCCATGACAACAAGTTGTAGCCACTGACCAGCTCACAAAGATCCAGACCACTCCTGTTTCATTCCTCTGAAGAGCTGTTGCCCCAGATCACTGGGAATTAGCTTTTTTGAGTTTCTGAACCATTTGTTCTTCATCCAACATTTATGAAGACTTTCAGAGAACTAGGCACTGTTCTGGCCCCATGTTACAAATAGAACTGTCAAGGCTCCTGCCCATAAGATGCTCATAGCTTAGTCTGTGGACAAGGAACCCCACCAAAGGACCACCATCAGTGCTGGGAATTTCCTTGGAAAAGATGTGGGCAGTGTTTTGGCAGGAAGCTTAGCTGACAGAAACCTTTTGCAACAGCTGCCTTTTTGTTGAGAACTGCCATGAGGGCTGCAAAATTACTTTGGGGGTTAATTTTAATCATTCCCAGCCAATTTCAATTCCCCCTAGCCTACCCACCCCGAGGGACTGAACTGAACACTCTGACACTGGGCACTTAAGAAACAAAGGCTCATTCATCATTCATGGAACACTTGAATGAACAACAGGAAAGCCAGAAATGGTGCAAGTTTCCCAACCTCCCATTACCCTACTCTGGATCCCACGAAGAAGAGTGTCACCAATCTCAGGCTGGACGAGTTCACAAAGGACAAGATATCAGTGGCTCCTCCTAGACAAGTGGCTCTCAAAGAGTGGTCCCCGCACTGGTAACTGCAGCATCACTTAAGAGTTCATCAGAAATGCGAATTCATGGGCCCCACCCGAGACCTACTGAATTAGAAATGCCGGGGTGGGAATGGATAAATTGGGAGTTTGAGATTTGCACATACTGACTACTATATATAAAACAGATAAACAAGTTTCTACTGTGTAGCACAGGGAACTATATTCAATATTTTGTAGTAACCTATAATGAAAAAGAATATGAAAATGAATATATGTATATATATGTATGACTGAAACATGATGCTGTACACCAGAAATTGACAAAACATTGTAAACTGACTATATTCCAATTTTTTAAAAAGTAAAAAAAAAAAAAAGCAAATTATTGAGCCCCACCCCAGACCAACTGAATCAGAAATGCCGGGGTGGGGCCCAGCAATCTGTATTTCACCTCAGGTGATTCTGATGCTCGGTAAAGTCTGACACCATGGCTCAGTTGCATGGTTCTCACCCTTCCCATTACAGGGAGAGGTCCAGGGGCAGAGTTCGGCATCAGGGGCGCCATCTTCCAGGATGGATCCAATGTTGACTGCGCAGCCCTGGGATATGACTGGTGCTCACATCTGTCACAAACTTTCCCCCACCCTATCTATCAGAGCAGAAGCAATTGTTTATCTGTCCCTCTCTTTCAATGTTGAAAAAGAAGAGAAGGGACCCATATCTCTCAGTGCCTTGTCTCCTTCTAAGACTATTTGAGGCTATTATTGACACAGCCAGTTTATCTTCTTGGGGAGGCCAGTTTAATACATCGTTACATTTATGCTGGGTTTTGCTGACCTATACAATCCATGCCAAAATGTACTCACTAGGTGAACAGCTGACCCTCCATGTAAGGGCAGGAAAGGCAACTATAGAGTTAGGCTGTCCCATCAGACTGAAACCTTAACTTCTTTTCTCAAAAAGTGAATTTAGGCAAATTATAATTGTAGCGGGATGAACTGAAGGTTTCCTAGTCAAGGTTATGGTATAGCACACCTTTGGCTGAAGCAGGCTTCCTTTCCACAACCTTGTCCTTAGGCTGATGTTGAATATCTCTGCATCCGCTGGCTTACGCTGTCAAACTGGGTCCCCAGGAGGTACCCCAATGACAGAGGAGGGTAGGTTTGGACACAAAGTAGTTGCAAAGAAGCCACAATTTGAGTGTGACACACAGACTCGACTACATGGAGAAGAGATAGGAAGGTGTTTTTAGAGTGCCTTTTGTATACGATAGTCCAGTATTGAGAGAACCTTCATGGCTTCACAGATGTCTGCGGGAAATTTCATAAATAACAATTGCCAGAGGCGGGGCTATGTTAGCCAGAATGGTCAGAGATTCAGCAAGATAATTCTGGTTACTGATACTTTCTGGCCCCCATCTCTGTGGTCTCTGAGAAAAGGCAGAATTCAGAAAAAGACTTAGTTCTCCCTGGGCAATGCCCGCTGCTTATTTCTTCTAATTCAAAGCTTCGGGCCTTGTGAGCTTTTGCCTCTACTTTACATAGTAGAATAATGTATCTTTTGGTTCATGCTACTAATCTAGTATCTTACAGTTGTTTTAACGGATAGAAACGTAAACTCCGTTTGAAGGACGCTATGGTAACGGTAATCGGTAATCTCGGGAAGCTCCCAGGGAATACAGGTAGTTGGTTCCATCATTAAGGGGTCAGAGCCTTAAAAGAATGCTCCAGGGTATGGAGGAGGGAAAGTGTCAACAAAATAAAATTAGAGCACTGTGATTGAAGGAATTCAGAACGGAGATCCTGAGGATCAGATTGTTGCAGCAAAGTGTGTTACAGTTCAATGTTACAGCTCAGTTGTGACAGCAACCTCGATCCTGATGAGAGACCAAGCAGCACTTGGAGGATTAGAGAACTCAGGTTTATTAAGCCGGCAGGTCCAGAGGAATTAACACTGCAAACTCTGGACCCCGTTTGTCGGTTTACACAGGCTTTTATAGGCTACCAGTAAAGACCTTGCAACATTTTGCAACATCATATGCAAATAAAGTATAACAAAGTGGACCAATCAGGAATGACAAAAATGGACCAATTCGGAATGATAGAAATGGGCCAATCAGGAGTGAGCTCAGGGAACCAATAGAATCTTACGGGTAAGTTCCTCTTTCCTAGAAGGCCACCTGTTTTATAGAGGCAAAAAGCCAGATAATACCCTGGGCCAGGGAACCAGATGGCGCTGGCAGGAAAGTAGTGGCCTTGCCTGGGGGTCCTGCTGGTCTTTTTCATGGGGCTTCCCCCCTCAAGAGGACCCTATCACAGAAACTGATCAGTGACCACGTTTATCTTTCTGTTCTTTACCAAAGGTTAAGAGGAGAGAGAATTAAAAGGAAGAGACTCAGTCTAAATGAATAACTAGCAAGGCTGCAAAACCTCTTGGGTAGAGGAAGGACTTAAGTATGTGCGGCGGTGCTTTTCAATTTTCAGTTTACAAAACTGCAGCACATCACTTCACTTATCTCATCAACGGCACCACCACGTCCCCAGCTTCTTAAGGAGGAGGAGGAGTTCCCCCGCATACAAGTAGGAAGCTCTCGAGCGTGGAGAGCCAGCATAGCCTCTGTCCTAGGAGTCCACAGCGGGAGTCCAGCAGGAAGCGGCTACGCCGGCAGAAGTGCAGACGCCAGTAGAAGAGCTTGCGCCGCTGCCGTGCGTCGGGGCTTTACGGTAATTCTGCGAGGCGCGCCTGTCCCCCCTCGAGCGCCTGTCCCCCCTCGTGCGCAGGCGCGGAGCCGTTGCCTGCCGAGCGGTTGCGAGCAGAGCGGTTCCCAGAACTGCTTCACCGGGAAGGGCTGGACTTGCAGGTTCCGAGGCCGCCTGGGCGGCTCAGCACAGCCTGAGGCCCCGGCGTCCGCCTCCTGCGGCGTCCTTGGTAAGTCCACGGCCCTGTGTGAGCAGCTGCCCGAGAGCCGGGGAAGCACCCTCCCAGGTGTCGGTGGCTGGAGGCGGGAGGGCACTGGCAAGATCCAGCCCTCAGGCCGCCCCTGGCCCCGCGGCGGGGGTGGGAGCCGGGGACACGTCCCCGGGAAATCGAGGCGCGACGTGGGGCAGGAGACGAAGGCTGGAGCTGCAGCCCCGCGCGCCATCCCCACCCCTCCCCGGCCTGGGACCCAGCACGAACGGGAACCCAGTTTCCCCAGCGAAACTGAGGCCCGAAAGCAGCTGGCGAGGAGGGGCCGCGGGCTCTGAATCGCAGAGCATCCCACCTCCGCCGCGAAGTCGGCGGGTGCGCGGGGCCAGGGGCGTGCGCTCTGGACTTTTTGTGCAAAGTTCCAACCGAGCCGCCTCTGTCCACCCTACTCCCTGGGTCTCAGGAATTTGCCTTCGGCTGTAAACGTTGCTCCCCTCCCGGAGTAGAAACTGGACCCTGTGCCCAACGGGAGTCTTATGCCCCGTGCGGGGCTTCTTGGACCCGCCTGAAATGACGCTTTCATCTTCCTGTTCCCTAGGATCCGTCGCCATGAATCCCACCGTCATCGTGGTCCACGGTGGCGGAGCCAGCAGTATCTCCAAGGACCGGAAAGAGCGTGTGCGCCAGGGCATCGTTAGAGCCGCCACCGCGGGTTACAACATCCTCAAGGAGGGAGGGAGCGCAGTTGACGCCGTGGAAGGAGCCGTGACCGTCCTGGAAGATGATCCCGAGTTCAACGCAGGTACATTTGCACCGCAACTGGTAACTGACGCCAGACCGGGTTAAGCTTCTCTCCCGCAGATAAATAGAACCTTTCTAAAGTGTCAATGAATCTATTCCTTTTTATGGTACAACCTGATGTGCTAAAGAGATTTTAGAGTTTCCCTTTTTATTTGTTGACCAAGTTGCTTTAAAGAATTTTTAAATTCATTACTCCTTTTTCTTTAACCCGCTTCCTAGAATTCACATATCAAGAGCCTTTTTTATTACATCTTGGGGTGGGCGGCAAGGAATAGACTGCTGTTGGGTAGCAACCTCTGGAGCTTCTGGAGGTAATCTGAATAAAACTCCCATAAGGGAGGGCAAGGAGAAACTGAAGAAAAAGGCAGACAACTCCAGACTGAGAGGTGGCAGGTTTATGGCAACTTGCATAAAAGGCTCATCTTGCAAGATAAGTAGACCTCTGTCCGAGCCCACCAGAATCTTAAAAGCCCCCTATACTGTCCAGATAGTCTCAACACCACATTTCTATCTCACGACTGTGTCCTTGGGCAGCTTCTAGAGCAGGAAGTCAAGTGGAGAGCACATTCCAGGGGAAGGGAGTGAATGCCACCCATTTCCCCACCCCAGCCAGCCCACAGGTCAATGGCTTTCACATTCTTTCCATGATTTCCCGCAGCACTCTTCTCTTCGTTACTGGCTCTTACACTCTCACACAGCCCGTTTTCATCAGTGTGTCCTGAGTGGTCAGTGTGGGATTTCAAGAGCTATCTGACTACATTGGAGGCAGATGCAAAAGAAAACACAAGTTAAGATGCTAATTCCCCAAATCAGCGATACCTTTTTCTACCAAGAGCCCCATGGTTCAGATCATTGTTCCTAAGTCCCCTAGGCTGGGAGCCAGATCACTAAGAGTGATCACTCGTGTTCTGTGATTTAACAAAGACAACACATTAACACACTTACCAGGTATGAACACCCAGCATTCTGTTTCGATAACAGCGCAGGCACCTCCTTGCAAGGCAGTAGTGATGTCCAAGGCCATCCTATTTCAGAGGAGAGCTTTTCTTAGTAGACATTTCAGCGTGCAGTGAGGACAGGCTTTGTTGGCTCTCATTCAGAGCTTGGTGAGTGAACTTAGTAAGGACCTTGTGTGTGCCGTCCTGTCCTCCAGGCCAAAATGGAGGGCACAAAGACAACAGCCCAATGATCGTCCCAGTGAGAAACAGAAAGTGCCCACCTGGCCCTGAGGAGAGGGAGGTTGGCAGCCTTAGGAACTTGATCTGGTTGTACATACCGTACCTGTTAGCCAGGGGAGGCAGCACTGTCAAGCTGGAGGAGATGGACTGGGGGCCGGATAGGCCGGACCAGAACCCCCACCTTCTCTTTCTCAGTGTTGTGCACATAATGCATTTCAACAGGTCCAGCTTTCAGCCAGACAATGGGATCCCAGTGGGGACTGAGCAGTTCCCCCTCACCCATCCTGGCAGGATGTCCCATTGCAAATTCCAGTAGATAATCTCCTTTCCCAGGCATGTTGAGGCTTGGTGTTCTCAGCATCACAGTGACCCTTGGTGTGAGTCAGGGCAGTGGCTGTTTCCTGACATACCTTTTTGGCATTGGGTGCTTCCACAGGGGTCATAACAGCATACTGTCCACCTTGAGCTCTGTTTTCCGTTTGCCTTTCCCAACTGAGGTCAATACAAGCAAATAGTATTTCTAGCAGCCTCTATAATCCTATATAATATATAGATTTGTATATACATACAAATCCTATACAATGCTATAATTCTCTACAATAACTATTTGGGAACTTGATACAAAAAGTGAACTCCCAGCAGTTACTGAGTTAGGTGGCAATGATTAACATTCATGACACAGCTTGTCTGAACGTTTGTGAAACATTGTCTTTGTTTACATTATATTCACATTTTCAATAGGGGCTTCATTTTGTGTTTAAAGCTTTTTTTCATAATACTTAGTTTACTAAAAAGAATTGTTTTTTAGACAGCAACACTGTAAAAATTGAACTTTTAGATTTGGATGCTAGAAATATTCTTTAAAGATTTACTTAGATTGACAACCAAATCATGACCCTTTGCTTTCTGGGCCTGAAGTTGAGCAGTATTTACACAGAACTTTAAATAATTTATTTTCCCTACAATTCAATTTTATAAGCTGTCAGTCTCTGAAATAGCAGGATTTTTATTTACCCACCCTCTTCCTGATCTCCTTACAATGTGATATCCATCTATAAGGTAAAGATCTGTGATGGGGTCTAGGAATTGTTTTTTGTTTATTTGCTTTGAAGCTTTCCAGGTGATTCTAAAGTACAACCAGGCTTAGAATCCACTGGCCTAATACTGTACTATTTCAAAAGGGTTTTTTTTAGCATTATTTTTATATACAGTAAAATTTCCCCTTTTTTGTGTACAGCTTCATAAATGTGACAGTGTTGTGTAACTACCTCCACAGTCTAAATATAAAATAGTTCTGTTATTCAGTAATTCTCCCATGTCCCCTGGTGTCCACACCTCCATTCACCCCCAGCCCCTAATGGCAACTTGTATGTTTTCTGCCCCTATGATTTTTGCCTTTTCCAGGATGTCATAAATGGAATCATACAGTGTAGCCTTTTGAGTCTGGATTCTGCATTTAGCATAATGCATTGTAGGGTCACCCATGTTGACACAAGTACTGGTATTTTGTCCTTTTATACTGTTGAGTAGTATTCCATTGTGTGGATATACCATAGTTTTGGTCATTTACCAACTGAAGGACATGTTCATTTGGAGGCTAATCACTGCTAATCACTATAAACATTTACATACAGGTTTTTTGTGTACACCTAAGTTTTTATTTCTCTTGGGTGAATACCTAAACTGTGGGACTGCTGGTCATATGGCAACTATATATTTAACTTTATTTGAAACTACCAAATTGTTTTCCAAAGTGACCCCCATTTTTTATTCCCACCAGCAATATATGAAAGTTCTAGCTACTCCACCTCTTCACCAGCACTTGATATTGTCAGTGTTTTTTATTTTAGCCATTCTAAGAGGTGTATGATAGAATCTCATTTTGTGTCAATTTGCATTTCCCTAATGGTAAATGACATTTGTTTTAGCATCTTTTCAAGACTGTTGTCAATTTCTTTATTGAGGTTTTTTTTCTTATTATTAAGTTCTAAGAGTTCTTTATATATTCTAGATATAGGTCATATATCAAATATGTGATTTGCAGATACTTTCTTCCCCTATTTGGCTTGTCTTTTCTTTCTCTTAACAGTGTCTTTCAAAGAACAGAAGTTCTTAATTTTGTAGTGTCCAATTTATCCCTTTTTTTAATGGATCCTGCTTTTTTGTGTTGTATCTTAAGAAATATTTGCCTGACCCAGGATCACAAATATTTTCTCTTGTCTTCTAGAAATTTTATTATTCTGTGTTTTAAATTTAGGTCTGTGATCCATTTTTAATAAGTTTTTGTATATGGTATGAAGTATATATCAGGGTTCAGTTTTTGCATAATTCTTCTCAGCACCAGTTGCTGAAAAGACAGGTCTTTATCCATTGTTGAGTATCATCTGACTTTATACATACAGATCTATTTCTGGACTCTGTTCTGTTCCATTGATCTGTATGTGTATCTTTTCACCAACATCAGGCTATCTTGATTACCATAGTTTTATAGTGTGTTAAAATCAGATAGTAAAAGTCTTTCAACTCTATTTTTTCATGATTGTTTTGTCTTTCCTACAAATTTGAGAATCATCTTGTCAATTTCCACCAAAAAAATTCCACTAGAATTTTTATTAGGATTGTGCTGAACCTGTAGATTAGTTTGTAAAGAATTGAAATCTTAACAATACTGAGCCTTACAGTCCATGAACACAGAATATACTTTCATTTATGTGGATCTCCTTTGATTTCTTTCATCAGTGTTTTGTAGTTTTCAGTGTACATATCTTATAAATATTTTGTTAGATTTATAGCTAATTATTTCATGTATTTTGGTGCTATTGTAAATACTACATTTTAAAATCTCAATTACCAGTTGTTCATTGCTAGAATGTGAAAATACAGTTGATTTTTTTCATATGTTTATGTGCCACTGTATGTCTTCTACGTTAAGTTGTCTGTTAAAATCTTTGACTCATTTTTCAATCAGGTTGTTTCTTTTCTTTTTGTTGAGTTTTAAGAGTTCTTTGTATATCTTGGATAAGTTTTTTATCAGTTATGTCTTTTGTAAATACTTTCTCCCAATCTGTGGCTTGTCTTTTTATCTCTTGACAATGTCTCTCATAGAGCAGAAATGTTTTATATTAATAAGGTCCAACTTAACTATTTCTTCCTTTCATGGTTTTCATGCCTTTGGTGTTGTATCTAAAAAGCCAAACCCAAGGTCATCTAGATTTCTTCCTGTGTTATCTTCTAGCAGCTTCACAGTTTTGCATTTTACATTTACGCCTGTGATCCATTTTCAGATGATTTTTGTGACAGGTGCAAGGTCTGTGTCTAGATTTTCTGCATATGATATCCAGATATCTCAGCACCATTTGTTAAAAAGACTTGTCTTTGCTCCATTGTATTGCATTTCTCCGGAGATTCTGCACCCAATTCCAGTGGGTGTGGGTTTCTCCACACAACCAAGCAATTCTTGGACACCAGCTAGGTGTCCTATAGTTCAACTCAATCCTGACACTAACTGCCTGGAGATGGCATCAGGTTCCAAAGGTTACAGGCTCAGTCCCACAGGACTGCCCTCCACTTTAGATGCCAACTGAAAGTCCATGTTGTTTCCTGAGCTTCTGACAGACTAGCTGTAAATCAGAGGTTCCCACAACCCCCCCCCAATGAATTTGCTAGAGAGGCTCACAGAACTCAGGAAACCAATTTACTCACTAGATTACCAGTTGATTACAAAGGATATCAAAGGATAGGAATCAACAGCCAGATGAAGAGATACAAAGGGTGGAGTGCTCTTGTCCCAGTGGAGCTTGTGGCCCGACCTTAGCACGTGGAA